TATATTAGTTTACTGTGTCTGAAAACATTTTTTTTCACATTTGAATATATTCTTTTAAAGTGTAAGTTGTCTTTTCATCAGTATGCTTGAAGGGTAGTTCCTCACAAGGATATCTTGCCCCACTCTCTCATATTTAGGTTTGTTAATTTATCTTTGCATTATGATTGAGGATTTGGATTGTTTCCTGTACACAGAATGAGCCGATGTGTCCAGCAGCTGTTGTTAGTCCATTTAAAACCCAGAAGCTGCTAAAGGCTGAGTGCTATTGATTGAGCCCTAGAAGAGCTGAAGTGCACATACAGTGTCCTGCAGCAGCACACACTGATGCTGAGATTGTAATCAAGTCCTGTGCTGCTCCTCCTGCTCTTAATCCATTAAGTGTTTGACAGCCGTGCAATTGTTTCCACCTACAAACCCTTTGTCAGGTGACAGATCTGGGGTCAGAAAACTGCCAGGTGAGTCTCCCACTGTGTTTGGGGGGATTTATTTGGTTATTGTCCAGTTGTGTAATGCCTGAGAAAAGGGTTCACCTTGGTGCTAGTGTTGCATTACGGCATGCCTTGCTCAGGTGTAGATGAGAAAAAAACATTTATATCTGGTATTTATTGCATACTTTGAACATTTGAAGTGGCGAATACTGTGTTTTGATCTTAAATGCCATGCCTGACAGGATAATAGCAACCACTAGTTGAGACCTAAATATATGCAGCACTTCTTTCCTGCAGCTTGTGACATTTATCCACAGGGATTAGCCGTATTGCTTATAACCTTATATATGTACAGAAACTGACTGTCTGACTGTCAAAGGCCCGATTCTTTCACTAATATGCTGAACTAAATGGATACATAACACGTCTGCTTCTGAAGAGTTCCTTTTCTAACTTCAAGAGGATTCATTTAATCACAGGAAAAGCTTTTTGATCATGTTGCTGAACAGACTGCAGAGACATTGCCAGCACTGTAAAGAAAAGATTGTCAGTTGACTTCAGAAAGTGCTTCATAAATGAACTGGTTTTATTCAAGTCAAAAATATGATTTTAACGTGACTGAATCAGTCTGACTACATTAGGTTGCAGCAATGAAAGTCATTAAGGGCAGATCAGGTAGAAATAGCTCCTCAGGGTAATGACAGCACATTATTATTGTGTCCTTACATGATATGAAGAATATGAAGGATTTAAATTCATTAAATCTCAATGCAGCTGGTTCTATGGCTAGCCATTTTAACATTTAATCATTAAAACGTACTAGTATCTGTTGTTGTGCTACTTGCTTTTTAGCTACTAGTATCTATTCTATTAATTACTAGTACTTATTCTTTAGTTACTCGTGCTTCTTACTACTAGTACCTTTTTAAAAGATGCTACTGCTTATTCATTAGATACTTTTTCTTATTTATTATATATTTGTACTCATTCATTAGATAGTATTATCTATTAGGTAGATATTATTACCTACTATTAGATACTAGTACTTAATCATCAGATGGTATTGCGAGTTATAAAGTCAGAATTGTGAGATATAAACTCGTAATTGTAAGAAAATAGTAGTTTTTTCTCCGAATTGGAGTTCATAACTGGCAATTGCGAGTTTATATCTCACAATTATGAGAAAAGAAGACAGAATTTTGGAAAAAAAGTCAGAATTGTGAGATATAAACTCAGAATTGTGAGAAAAATCTCAGAATTGCGAGTTTATATCTAGCAATTCTGACTTTATTTCTCAGAACTGCGACTTTATATCCCACAATTCTGATTTATTGTCTCGAAATTGCGAGTTTATATCTCACAACTCTGAGAAAAGTCAGAATTGCGAGATAAAAGTTGCAATTACCTTTTTTTTTTTTTTACTTTTTTTTTAAATCAGTGGCAGAAACAGGCTTCCATAATTCTGACTAATAACATGATTTGACATAAGATGAGTAAAAAATCAGTTGTGACTACTAAGATAAAATAATTGTTACTAGTAACAATTACAAAATATACTACCGTCTAATAAATAAGCACTAGTGCCTAATGAATTACTACTAATATTTATTACATAGGTATCTATCGGTAACTAATAGGTAAGTACTATCAAATAAGTAAGAACTAGTATCTAATGAATAATATCTTTAAAAAGTTACTCGTACCTAAGGAATAAACACTAGTAGTTAATGAATAAATAGTAGTACCTAATAGAATAGATACTAGTAGCTAAGAAGTAGTATGAAAATACATGCGTTTTAAGGATTAAATGTCAAAATGGCTTGCCATATGTTTGAATCTGTGAATTTACATAATCATTTGTGAGCTTCTGTATGAGTATAAATTGGGTTTATGTAGATTTTATTCAATGTATTCACCATAACTGATTGATCATACATGTCCATGCATGGCGTCCTGCTGTGTAATACAGTCGAGGATGTACTGAACATCACGGATCAGTTATTCATCACAGCATGGCTTCACGGGCTTCCCGTACTGCTGCTAAAACACTCAGGAACAGAAGAGATTCTGCTGATTACACTGTGAAATCTGCTGTTTGATTAGATAACATATCTTTACATTCCCATCAAGTCTTCATTAGTCACGCAAAATGCCAATGAACTTTTCTTTTTTGGTAGAAAAGAGATGTAAACAGAAATATGTTAAAGGTCAGAAGATACGTGTTCTAAAGCTCCAGAGGAATCAGACGAGCTTGCCATCTCTCGTTTTGGACGGTCTAAAGGCCGCTGGGTAGCGGCAGAACAAAGAGAAACAGATCTGACTGAACCTAATAGAGCACTGAATCGGTCACTGCTGTTTTGAGAGTTTTCAGAGTGTTTTAAACCGGCGCTCTGTCAACATGCCATTGTAGCGTCTGCTCAGCCGTGTGATTTGACTGTGCTGTTTAACCTTAAAATTGAGTTTATAGTGTTTTGAGTTTATTTGAGTGCCATCTTAATCGGATAAATTCAGAAATGTGTTCTTAGTTGTCATGCATATTTGCATTGTGAGAGAGCAGGGAATCGACCGTCAATATAATACTGACAGTGCAGTTTATTGAATGAACACTTAAATAACACAATGTTTAGTGAACATGCATACATTCAAAAAAAAAGAAGAAAAAAAAACAGACCTTTTTATCCTGTAATGCAATGCAATGTAAGTCACATGATTGCGCTCTCTGAAATGTGCTTCATGGTCGATATTTTTGCGTGCATGTATGTATGTGTGTGTGTGTGTGTGTGTGTGTGAGTATGTGTGAAAGTGAAAAAGAAGAAGAGCTATAGACCTGTGTGATACCTTTCATGGAGAAAAAAAGGATATATTTGAGGATTAACTCAGATTTATGGCATGTCATAACAATTTATACGTTTCAGCACTGACCTTTCCCTTAGCACTTGAGTGATAGATGTACTTCATTACCATGTTTGAAAAGTACCAAACGGAACACCTTCCCGTCAGAGTCGTACGTGATCAATCAAGGCGGGATTGTGGGTAAGAAGAGCAGGTTTGTGTATGGAGACGACCCTGATGTCATGTTAACAGACAGGCTTGACATTGAGGTTATGTACTGTATGAATATGTGCTGCAGGAAAACACAGAAATATAATTTTAATGCCAAAACAGAATGATTTCCCCTGTATTAACAAGTGTAAAGAGTAGGGTTAGTTTCTATTTAGTGTGTAAGCATTCTGAGTGAGGTAGATATGTGGGGGCGTGTTTGAACGAGCCGTTTTAGGGGGGTGTGGCTGACTCTTAACTTTTATAAAGAATATCTCTTTGGATTTGAGACTTTAGTCTTTGCAACTTTACAGATCTTCTTTATGCACCAAGAGCTTGTAACACTCCAAAGAGAAAGGAAAAAATGAAATTGCATCATATGACTCCTTTAAGTAAGAGAATTGTCACACATTTATGGCCATGCATGGCCTAAAATTAATACTCGGCAAGTGCCAAACGAGAGAAAAATTACCTTCCAGTTTGCTGGAAACATTTTTTTTTTAAGTAATTCTAACAATGCCTGGGAAAGCAATATGGCTTAGTGTGTTTATTAAATCTTAAAGACATTGTAATTATATAAATATGTAATCTGATGCGCTGCGTGTTTCAGAGTTTGATCTTTTCGGTGTTTTCAGTGTCTTATAACAGGCATTTGAAAATGCAACATTCCCCAAACATCTTCGTTGGTAATGAAACATAATTTATAAATCTCTTGTCAGCAAAAGAGAAGCATTTGAAGAGAAGCATTATAATAATAATAATAAGGGATTCACTCCCGTTTTTTAATGTGTCACTCCTGAAACTTTACAGTGTGTATGTGGCCAATAAAGCACACAGCACACTGTCGTCCCAGTGTGTGTTTGAGATTGTTCAGTTCCTGCAGTATACTGTGGTGGTCAGAAGCTGCCGGTGGTCAGCATCAGTTACTGTTGACTGCTGTTTTCTTCATTAGACGTAGTGAGACTCCTCTCAGCGGGCGGCTCTGATCCGTCATGTAGAGGAATGTCACCTAATGACTTATTCATACCATATTTCCTCCTCTCATCGGTCGAGCAGAGCTTTGTATACACTGTCGTCTTCTGCGCTGCCTCCGTGCCGGATACAAGAAATCTTCCTCCCACTCGAGGGGTCTTAAAGAGTGGCTCAGCGGGTGGGCTGTGTTTGCATAATTTTATTGCCAGTGAGGAATAAACAGTCACTACTACACTTGATTAATCATGGTTCTCATTTTCCCCGCTGTCTTTTATAGACATAAGTGCTGCGGAGCCGCATGGGAATTAATGTGACAGTTTAAAACATGCTTGCTAATCCCTCACCGCCGAAAGAAGCTGCGATACAGCTAAAGTGTCTAAATGAGAATGTTTACCTTTTGTCTTTGGGTGTAAATCGCAGGATTACAGTGAATTAATTGAGACCCCTGCACTGAACGACTGTCCAAAAATGCAAATCGCAAACGCGTCCGTGCATAAATGCAAATGCATAAATGCCTTCGGTCATATCCAGCTAATTAAATTCCTCTGGTGTGCTTTACAGGAGACACGTGCACCATGGCGGAGTACAACAAGCTGAAGAGCATGCTGCTGGACATGCAGCCCAGGACCTCCATAGACGAGCAAGCAAACGCCATGGACCAGAGGAGGATCCTAGTGGACACAATGTTCAAGTATATAGACAGAAACCAGGACGGCCGTCTGAGCAGTGAGGAGCTGGCAGAGGTGAGGGACCCATAGGATTGCAGTTCAAGAAGATATGGAGGAATATAAGCAAGGGATAGTGTACCTTCAGCTGGTCATTTCGCTCCACTCTGAAGGGGTTTATTTTTCCATAGTGACCGCCGGACTGCACATTATCCTGCATATTATGTCAAAGATTAGGAAACATTTCTGAGTCATTATTTACAGAATCATTCCAAACCAATAATCTGCTGTTTTTCTGTGAAACCCAATGTAGAGGAATCATTATTCTTCTATTCAGTTCAGTTCTATTCATAGTGAAGTTGCTTGTTGCACAGCTACTGACCAAATATATAAAATGAAATATTAATTTGAGTTTTACCTGCTTATTATTTTAAAGCTTCCACTAACCCTTGTGAGAAAAGAAAAAGAAATGTAGCACACTTGTAAACAAATGTAAACACTTACATCACTATGATTCTTAATACACTTTTAAAATTCATTGCAATTTAAATCATTACGCTTTAATCATCTTTTGTCATATTTTAAAGAACTACACTTATTTTGAAATACATGTAAAGTACTAGATTATAATTTTAACTGTAGTGTTATTTGATATTACATGTAATGTTAATATATTTTAAAAGTACTAAATTTCAACTTCATTATTACAAATGTTTAATTATAAATAAATTTAAATACAGGACATACACATTTCAATAGAAATGACATTAAAGTACAGTATATTTCAGGTTTACCATAACTGCTTTAAATAAAATAAATAAGCACTCTTAAATTCAACTAATTGCATTTCAAATAAATTTAAACTATAATACTTTTTTCATGAAAATTTAAATAACGTGCAATTAAGTTTTCAAAAATATTACATTCAGTTTGCAGTTCATGTGAATAGTTCACCCAAAAATGAAAACATCCTCAGGTCATCCAAGATGTTGATAAATTTGTCATCAGGTTTGGAGAAATGTAGCATTCCATTACTTGCTCAGCAATGGATGCTCTGCAGTGAATGGGTGCCGTCAGAATGAGAGTCCAAACAGCTGATAAAAATATCACAAAAATCCACACCACTCCAGTCCATCAGTTAACATCTGGAGAAGACAAAACCTACATGTTTAGAAGAAACAAATCAATTATTAAGGTGTTGTGCATCTTGTGGCCTGAGAGTGAGTAAACTGTCCACAAATGAAGATTTTTGGGCAAACTATTCCTTTAAGTATATTATTTTAAATTAGGTTTTTATCCATAAGTACTCTTAATAAAAAGTATGCTAATATGTTCTTCTTTTTCACAAGGGAAGAAAACAAACACTGTCGCAAATCAATATTACAGTATATTAATACTAATGTCCTCTGATTTCATTTTCAATACCGTTGATAATTCAGAGTATCAGAGACTGAAAGTACTGGTTTCATTATCCTCTCCTCTACTGAAGCTCATGTTTAACCCAAATCAGGTTCTGCTGACTCAGATTTTGCCATTATTGAAATCTGGACAGCACACTGGTTCAGAATGACATGTGGGTGAACAAATACTGACAGGTTTTTCATTTTGGGGTGAACTCTTCCTTTAACACCCATATAGCATGTGTCAACCAATCAGCATCAAGAACAGCAGTGTCGTGGTACAAGACAAGAGCTTCATCATACCTGTAAATGATGTTATGTAACCCGTTCTGAGTAGATTACTTACAATGTCGTCAGTTTGCATGATGAAAGCTGTAGTTAGTAACGTAATCTAGGTTACACATTTTAGGTAATGTATTCTGACTACTTTTTAGATTACTTTTAGATTACTTTTTTATCAAACTTCATCAAACAAAAAAGCAAACGTTTGGGAATCTCTCCATTACATGAACAAACATTAATAAATACAGCAATGACATTACACGCCCAAAGTCTTCCAAGCCTGAAATATTTTTGTCCAGATTTCCAGAATCAACAGTAACTTGCATAATTATCTGTTTCACACATGATCTAACAGCTTGAGAGATGCTTTTCCCCTCAAATTCAGAAGCATGGTTTGCAAATTTATTTATACCACATTTGTGAATATAGTTAAAGCTAAATGACACACAGTATTATTTTTAGAAAGGAACATTTAAAAGAGAAAAAGAATTAGGGAGAATCAATAAATTATGAATAATTTACTGCCATTTACTGCCATTGATTACCATGTAATCAATAAAAAGTAACTGTAATCTGATTATGAACATTGTAATAATACTATGAGCAATGTAGTATACTTTAATTACAAATACTTAATTTTTGAGCATGGTTTGCAAATTTATTTATACCACATTTGTGAATATAGTTAAAGCTAAATGACACACAGTATTATTTTTAGAAAGGAACATTTAAAAGAGAAAAAGAATTAGGGAGAATCAATAAATTATGAATATTTTACTGCCATTTACTGCCATTGATTACCATGTAATCAATAAAATGTAACTGTAATCTGATTATGAGCATTGTAATAATACTATGAGCAATGTAGTATACTTTAATTACAAATACTTAATTTTTTGAGTAATTCAGATTACATCAATTACTACCCAGCTCTGTATGTAACTGAATTGAATTCTTCCTGTTCTTTTACAGATCTCCATAAAGGAGCATTTAGAAAATATCTTATTGGAGTGCACCATGCAAGACCTCCTGCGTTACGACGATTACAACAACGATGGTCACCTGACCCTTCAGGAGCTCTACACAGCCTTCCGTGAGTGTAGATTACACAGTACAAATGAACCTCTCTCACCATGTGGCAGGTCTGCAGATTTTTTGTCTGCCAGGCACCATTACGTCTCTCTCTGAAAGGTCATCGCTTTGCACATTTGCAGCGAACGAGCACCTGATCCTTTGGGCCAATGAATGCTAATCATGGCCCGGTGATGAGAGATGAGTGCTTTTGGCTGAAAAAGAGAGATGAGATGGCAAGCCCAGATTATCTCGTATCATCCATCGTCCCACGCCGCATAAAGCAAACGCCCTCATTTCATTCGTTTCCAATTTGCCAATGCAATTCGCAGTCCCAGTTCTCTGAATGAGCAACTGTGACTAAAATTATCCATCCATTCCACCAGGAGATCAATCAAAGCATTAGAGGTGCCTTGCAACCCTTACTTTAAGATTCAACTGCTGGGGCAAAAAACACAGCTCCATTAACCAGCGCCAGTCGTTAACCTCACTAATGACGGGTTTTAGTGAACTGCTTGTTGTCATTATACAGTCCCTTTGCTTTTGGGTCCAGCTGGCCAGTGTTGGTTCTCAGGTGAGGAGGTTGAGTGTACGAGTGTCGGTGTAATAAAACATTGCACTGGTGAAGCCCTTCTCAAGGTTAAGCGTGTTGCCGCAGTGGGATTTTGGAGGATGCCATCTGCAATGAGGGAGGAAGGATCACTGCTGCAATTGACCGACTCATGAGTTTCATTCAAACAAACGTACCTGAGGAGATCCCACTCCACGCTCCTCTGTTTGTTCGGCACATTTCAATCCATACGGAAAGACGCTAGTGTTTCCTATAGTTCTTTGTGTAAAGTGCTATGTGCTTTACACATGTCGTTCAACCATCTGTGAGCTGGAGAAGAAACATACGCACATTCATGAGCTTTTGATTTTTACCAATTTGGTGACACTTCAGATTATAGGGAACACATATTCACTATGTTTTCCCTCAACAGACTGCTAATTTGCCGCTTATTAATAGTTAGTTAGGTAGTTGTTAGGCTTAGGTGTAGTGTAGGATTAAGGGATCTAAATTATGCAGAATGAGTTCATTAATATGTGCTTTATAAGTAATAAACAGCCAATATGCTGGTAGCATGCATGACAATAAGCAACTAATAGTGAATAGTGTTCCCCTGATCTAAAGTGTGATGATGCTGTGATATTATTTTGTTTAGATGTCATTATTAAGTGAAATTTGCATGTATTGTCTCAGTTGCTTGCTAAAAAAATATAGCTTAAAGGGATAGTTCAACCAAAAATTCAGTAGCACTTTAGTACAGGGACCAATTCTCACTTTTAACTAGTTGCTTATTAGCATGCCTATTATTAACATATATGGTTACCAGCATCGTTCAAAATATCTTCTTTTGTGTTTAACTGAAGAAACAGGGAAAATTGTGATACAATTTGGACTAAAGCAGGTTTGCTCTGTGTAACTGAATTTTTATGATTAGGCAATGTAAGCTTCTGGAGAGGTCATAGAAAGTCATGGGAATTCATCTGTAATAAAGTGTGGGAATCTTATGTCTGAGTCACTCACTGTTAAATTTACACTGCGCATTAGAGTTTAGTCAGACGTGAGGATTATAAGAGCAGATAATGCAGCAAATAAATATGAGTAAAGCCCATATAACATTAATCTGAAAAGACTGCAGCTTGAATTAATCTGACAGTGCTGGATTTCAGTTCTTTCACCAAAAATAAAACATATAGGCCTAATGATAAACTTCAGTTTCTGGGACAGAAATATGACAACAGTAGAAACTAATGAGAAAAAAGAACAAGAAGAAGAAAAACTATTGTTATTGATCTTAGGTAGTGATTTGAACAAACTCCTAACACTAACACTGCTGGAATAGGCCTAATGATAAACTTCAGTTTCTGGGACAGAAATATGACAACAGTAGAAACTAATGAGAAAAAAGAACAAGAAGAAGAAGAAAAACTATTGTTATTGATCTTAGGTAGTGATTTGAACAAACTCCTAACACTAACACTGCTGGTCTATAAAGCAGGTGAAAAAAATCAGACACATACTTAATTGCACTGTTAACTACAACTTTTGCCTCAATAAAATCCTAATTTGCTGCATATTACTAGTTAGTTAAGATAGTTGTTAAATTTAGGTATGGTGTGGATTAAGGGACTGAAATATGCTCATGCAGAATAATATGTGCTTTATAAGTACAAACAAACAGTCAGTATGCTAGTAATATGCATGCTAGTTAATAGTAAGAATTGGTCCTTAAAATAAAGAGCTACTGTTAGGCATCTAATCTGTTTGCTGCAAAACTGGTCATAACTTTTTACAGTCTGTTACAAAAAGGTACATTTCAATCCGAAAAAGACTTTTTACCAAATGGCTATTTGGTCAAACTCGTTCTTAAGACACAGTTTTAACATAGTGGCTATTGTATGTTTATGCAACTGACCCGAAAGATCAGCAAGATGGTGACAATCCACCTAGAAAGTTAAAAACCAGCCAGAACACTCTAGCAATGACCTAAGAAATGTTGGAGCTGCTCTCAATCAAAAAAATCAATTTTCAAATTTAGAATTTTCTTCACCTCATCATTATTTCAGGTACAGCCAGATATAACTTTTTACAGTCTGTTACAAAAAGGTACATTTCAATCCGAAAAAGACTTTTTACCAAATGGCTATTTGGTCAAACTCGTTCTTAAGACACAGTTTTAACATAGTGGCTATTGTATGTTTATGCAACTGACCCGAAAGATCAGCAAGATGGTGACAATCCACCTAGAAAGTTAGAAATCAGCCAGAACACTCTAGCAATGACCTAAGAAATGTTGGAGCTGCTCTCAATCAAAAAAATCAATTTTCAAATTTTGAATTTTCTTCACCTCATCATTATTTCAGGTACAGCCAGATCTTTCTGTTTTGTTGCGAAATACAGCTCTCTCTCTCTCTCTCTCTCTCTCTCTCATACACACACACACACATACAGTACAACACTTATCAGCTGGAGAACACTGAACAGCCACATATTGTACAAAAAGACACAAATGCCCTTGTGGAAAAGAAGTGAACTCTAGCATACTTTTAAAAAGAGTACTTATTACAGAAATAATTTCATTTAAAACAAATGTACTTAAGTGTGAACTTTTGAAGTTCAAGTGTTTTCAGACACTTAGTTTCATGTTATTTTGAATGAAATGAGAATGTATTATAGTTAAAATGTGCATATTAAGTGCATTTAGCTGAAATGAAGAGTGCTTTTTGACCCACTTAAGTACATCGTTATATGTAATTTCATAATTCTATTGTGTTTGAAATATTGCTAAATGCACTGGCAAACATTGATGGCAAACTAAAATACACTTTAATGTCACATCTATTGACAATTGTATGCTATATTTAAACATATTTGTAATTATGAAGTTGCAATTTAGTGCATTTAAATTATATTACCTTTAAATGTAATATCAAATAACACACTACAGTTAAAATTGTAACACTTTAGTTGAGGGACCAATTCTCACTAGTTGTTTATTAGCATGCATATTACTAGGATATTAGCTGTTCATTAGTAGCCTACTTATAAAGCACATATTAATGTCTTATTCTGCATGATTATATTTTAGATCCCTTAAACTTAACAACTATTAGATATTAATAAGCAGCAAAGTAGGAGTCTACTGATGCAAAAGTTATAGTTAATAGTTAATAGTTTAAAAATGATCCCCAAACTAATGTGTGATTGATACAATTATAATCAAGTACATGTGCGTAAATATATTAATCAACACATGCAATTAAGTTTCTTTCAGAGAGTATACACTTCTTAACACATTTTGCTTAACAGTACACCTAAGCTGCCTTTTATTTCATTTATATAATATCTGAAAGTACAGTCTGTTCTTTTAAGATTTGAAATACACCATAAGTGAACATTTAATAAAACTAAGCACTCTTCTTTTTCACATGGGCAGGAGGGGGACGTGAGAAAGAGTGAGCACGAGGGGCAGATTTCACTGCGACAGAGCATAAAGTCTACTAATACTCTAATGTGAGTTTGTAGACTTGTAGGTGCAACGTTATTTATTGTCAACAGAATGTTCAAAAGGGACCATCAAAATAAAGTGTTACCTAATCAAGTACTTTACATGTGCGTAAATATATTAATCAACACATGCAATTAAGTTGATTAACAGTACACCTAAGCTGCCTTTTATTTCATTTATATAATATCTGAAAGTACAGTCTGTTCTTTTAAGATTTGAAATACACCATAAGTGAACATTTAATAAAACTAAGCACGCTTCTTTTTCACATGGGCAGGAGGGGGACGTGAGAAAGAGTGAGCACGAGGGGCAGATTTCACTGCGACAGAAGCATCAGTCTGTTTTCACGGCTCCCATTAGCGCTGGAATTATAAAGACGTTTAGCTGCGCTGTCAGTGCCCATCTGCATTAATCCAGAGTCTGCATGGGAACCAAAAAATGAGACACCAAACCCGCCTTCACTAGTGACTATCCCGAGCTGTGACACCCCAGACAGGACAAATACAAGAGCCTCCAAAAAATAATCACCGCTACCTGCTGAATCTAACCAACCGAAGCCTGACCGGCTGAGATAGACGATCGATGATCTCCGACAAAGAGTCTCACTGCCAAAGAGGCAGAGATAAAGAGCAGCTGGGTGCTTGAGAAAGAGATCCCGCTGAGAGCAGGGCTCCTGTGCCTGACAGCGGCGCTGAAGGTCTGTCTGACCGATCTTAGCTGCGCGGCTCATTCTGGCGGGTCAGGAGAAGGTTGTGCATATCAGAGGTCTCACTAGGGGCTAAATTACTGAATCGGACAAGGAGTTAATTAAACATGTCTAACGGAGACACTAGCTCTGCTGTCAGCGCCTCACTTACTTACTGAAGTGAATCTCGGAAGTGACTCATTTGAATCAAAGTAGCCGCTCCAGACCTCACACAAAATCTGGATTTGTGATTCCAGTCGAGTCTGATGTTAGCATGTGGCT